TCAGACTTAATCTTTTTTATTAGATTTACTATTATTTGGATATATATTTGATAATCTTTGGTTACAAAATTTGGCACAAAGTAAACACATGTAGTAAAAGTGCAAAGAAAAATTTAATGAACAAAAAATCAGTATAGAATAGTAAGCAAAATATTTATTTTTTATACTTTTGATACTGAATACTTTCTTGCCATTTGATGTGCTGTACCGATTTTTCTATATAGTTATACTATACTAGACTTTTATATATACTATACTTTTACATATACTATAAACCTTTATATATACTTTTTCTATATACTTTTTTCTATATGTTCTCGCATACGTTGTACAAGGTTTTTATCAACTTTTTTTTAACAAGAGCAAATTTTTTTTCGCAGTTGATCTTCATTTTTAGCTTTCCAATTGTTTTTATACACATAAGTTTTAACGATTGACCACAAATCCTCAATAGTTTCTAATTCTGGGACACAAGCAAGGTTATCAACCTTTGTAACATAATGGATTTTTTTTTTCATCTATAACATTTCAAGTATAGTGCAAAGATGCCAATTCAGACACCGAAATATGTTATCACTGTGATGGTTTTTAATAAAAGCAATCAATCTTTTAATGACGCAATCATTTTTTATAGTTTGGAATGATAAATGTTTGAGAGATTCCACAAGGGAAATTTTTTTTTTTATTATTAGCTTTTGCGCTTCTACTTTACAATTTTTGTTGCATTTTTGGATTATTTGAGTAAAATCCAGTTTTACAATTTTTTTTGTATGTTTGAATATAAAATTTGATTCATCAAATTTTTTTAAGGAAAAATTTAATTTTTTGAATATTTGAATTTTTGATTCATGTTCCTAGGCAGAAAACCAAAAATGCAGTTCCAGCATTTTGGTTTTCTGTATGATCCAGGCTGATGAGTCATTGGTCCGTTATTCTTTCCACTTTACTACATAACATTTGATGATTCTTTTAGGGTGATTAGTGATAACAAAATACTCTACAATGTTCTTAGTTTTAGCATTAGGATGCAAATTACAATAGTTAATAAAAATTCAATAAATTTTAATTACTCAATGATTGTGCCAAATTTTTGTCACTAAGGGTTTTACTCATAACAAAAGCATTTGTGTACGGTTCCAAAAATAAATGGAAGTTTAAAAAAAAAAAACAAGTATAATTTTATTTAATACCTTAAATCCTAATAAATTTTATTTTTTATACTAATATTTCAAAAAAATCAATATATATATTTATATGAATGGTGTACCTACTGATAGTTTGGGCGGTAACAATCCTAAAAAAGTTCCCTTTTTCCAAAGTTAAAATTAGTTTTAACTTTGAAGGAATGTAAAATGGTTGTATTAAACTTTTTTTCACTTATGGAACTTTTTACTTTTAATTCAAAATCACATTAAGTTCGTATGACAAACTAATGATTTTTAGGTTATGTATAAGATAATTCTAAGAAATAAAAAGTAAATATACTTTTTTTTGAAGAACGAATTTAGATTTCTCTAGCAAGTTTTGTAGTTATGTATATATATATGTATAGATGTATAGATGTATATATATGTATAGATGTATATATATGTATATATATATATATATATATATATATATATATATATATATATATATATATATATATATATATATATATATATATATATATATATATATATGTATATATATATATATATATGTATATATATATATATATATATGTATATATATATATATATATATATATATATATATATATATATATATATATATATATATATATATATATATATATATATATATATATATATATATATATATATGTATATGTATATATATTAGAGTGCGTCATTTTCTTACAAGTTTTTCATATTAAATTCCAACCACCTGGGTTAGTTGACTGGTTAGGTAAAAATTATTTCACTCTGAAAAAAAAATTTTAAACCTGTTTTTACGGTCCCTGCTTTTACAAACCCTCTTTTTTTTTTAATTCAAAAACAGGGACCTTAAATATCAGGCTGTGGTGAAAATAAACAAAAGTGAATTTCATCACAATAACCTGTACTTATTTGCCAATCCATGTATGAAACCAGAAACATTTGGGACCTGTCTGATGTCTAAAGGTAAAAATAGGATGGTTCCCCATGTCTCATATTAACATTTTTATTATTTTTTGCGCATTTACAGGTAGGCGCAACAAAATATTCATCAATAGATCAAACTTTTATTTTTACTCCAGCCTATAAAACATCCAAATAAAGCACTAATTTTTTTTTTCATTGAACTCTAAAAGACCTAAATATTAATTTGGAATAGGTTGGGAAGTTTACTTTAAAAGATATACATCAATTTAAACCAAGAAAAATAGCTTAAAACATACTAATTTAGTATAATTTAAAAAAATATATTTTAAAAGAATAACGCTTGCGATTGAATATAACTCACATCTGTCACAAACAAAAATAATCTTTTTTATTCAAAAAAAAAATTATAAAAGATTAAAAAATGAGTTTGTGAAAAGAATTTAAATAATTTTTTTAATATCAAAATAACTTTTACTTTGAAATCAAAAAAAAAAGATTTAAAGTAAAGACATTTTTATTTGAAGAAAAAAAAGAAGAAACTTCCTGAAACATAGATTGCCATAAATGAGGAGATTATTCTTAATTTTCATTACAGATATATTTAAACCATTGAATTGATTAAAAATTATCATTCAATATATCAACCAAGTAATTAAATTTCAGTTTGAAAAATGGAAGCTATGAAATCTAAATTTAATATTAATAACTCAGGCGTTTGTTAGACAAAAATATCCCACCAAAACTTTGGTTGTGCATCCCGAGATGAAATAATGTTATCATCTCTGGGCAAGAAATATGTCCTCAGAACTGCATCCTTTTTGCTATAAAGAAACCCTGGACTGATGGAGGATATGACTGCGGCATATTTCATAACAATCACATCAGGTTTGCTAAATAATATATATGTTTTTTTTATTTTCACTGAATTTTAATTTTACCTATATCAATTTATTAAGTTGACTCTTTTAACTCTGCCTCTCATATGAGGTTACATTAAAAAATTTTAAAGCAATTATAAAAAAATTCAATAAATATTATGACTTCTAGGAAACTACTAAATGATCTAGTTGAGAAATGGTTAACTTTAAAAAAGTTTAAAAAAGGCAGCATGGTTAGTTAGAAACACCTTTAAAAAAAAGTCCTAAGAATGTTTTTTGGATTGTAAAACCTGATATTTACTTTATTTTAAAAAAGAAACACAGAAACAACCTAGATTCATACAAGCAATTTTTAAAAGATCAAATGGTGAAATGTAAAATAATCCTTGGTTCAAATAATTTGATATATTGCTGAAAAATGAAAAAAATAGAAGAAAGAAAATTGCAATATTTAACATTTACTGAGCAACAAGTGGATCAAACTGAGAAAACTGAGCTTTTATCATTAGAACAAAGTGAGGTCTTTTCTTGCCAGGATTTCAACTACTCACCAGATGTAATTAAATCAGGTACTTGTGCATTAATAGCATTATCTAAAAAGTTTGCAAAAGAAGTTGCATTTACAGATATTTCTAAAAGTGTTTCATCTAGAAATATGATGCACTTGCTCTCTGACTTAGTAGATACTTCTGGGGGTAGTTTAACAGAATTCTTGCTTTCTGAATCCACCATCAGATGTGTAAAAAAGAAAGCAGCAAGTACAAGTGCAGCTAAAAATCGAGAAGATTTAATAAATCCTGCAAGTAAAAGTAGATTTCTTGATAAGAAGTCAATACTCTCTCGTTGCTTGGAGGGGGCATTTGACCTTGATAAGAATCTCACTTCTGCTACAGCAATGGGCTCACAGTGGCTGGTGAACTTTATTTCTTATAAAACCCAATTTTTCAGCCAATCATTGTCTCAATAATTTAGATCTTCCTTTATTTATGAATGGCAATGTACTCGATGAGTCATCTACCCTTCATCTTCTAGGATTAACTCTTACTTCCGATTTCTTGGAAACCTTATATCAAATCTATTGCAAATCTAACATCTGCTAAGGTTGCATCTCTTTATCAACACTATCTTGTTCTGAATTCTATTCTTTATCTCTATAAATCTCAAATCTGTCCTTGTATGGAATGTTGTTGTCATATCTGGTGCAGATTTTCCAATGATGCCCTTTCTCTTTTAGACAAATTGTAAAAACACATAAACATAGTTGGACCTGATCTTGCAGCCAACCTCCAACCATTATCAAATTGTCGTTATGTTGCTTCTCTTTCTCTTTTCTACAAATACTATAATGGGCATTGTTCTAATAAGCTAACATCTCTTGTGCCATCTATTAAAATTCATTCTTGTGTTACTCGTCATTCAATTAAGTCTCATTCTTTTACTGTGACTGTTCCTAAGTGCTCCGTTCTTTGGAATTTGCTTCCTTCATCTTGCTTTCATGATTCATTTAATTTGCAACATTCAAGTCATCTGTCAATCATTACCTTGCTCTATAAACTTTATCTTTTCTCTTTCAGTAACTTCCAACTCTAATAGTGGTTGCTTGCAGCCTTTTTTATAGCGAAGATGTTGCGAAAAAAAAAAAAGTTGGTTAGTAGGAACTCATGGTTTATTTTCAGTCTATTAAATTTGAGTGAAGACGATGATAAACCTTGGCTGAACTGTCCTTCATCTTTCTCTTCATTTTTCTGAAGTTTTGTCAACTAATTTAAAATTTTCATTGAATTTGTTTGCCAATTTTATTTAGCCAACAAATGCTCTTAATAAGCAATTAAGCTTGTGTCAGAGTTTGTTAATTTTGTTCGCAATGAAGAGGACAGGCAAGATATAATGTTGGTTGTTCAGCAAATTGTTTTTGATGAAAAGGTTTTCTCAATTTTATCATTGTTAACCTTAACAATGTCATTATATATTTTTCTTAGCTGAAAATCAATTTTTTTGCCTTAATTATCCCAGCTACTTGAGATTAAGCAAAATAAAACTGTTGCAAAATAAAATATGAAAATTTAATCAAACTTTATCTATAATATAAAACTTCAAGGCAGATGGTACATAAATATTCAGTAAAAAAAAAAATAAAGAAGTAAAATGGGTGGGGTAGGGGTGTTTAGGGTCCTTATAATATAATTTTTTTTTAATTTTATTTTTAATCTTTGTAAACTAGAATTTGATAAAAATTTGTCACGGAAAGTTTTAGAGATAAAAAAATTAGTCAATTGAAATATCATAAAATCACCTAAAATTAGAACATTTAGCTTAATATTCTTGACTCAAATCAATTCACTTTTTTAAAAACTTAACTTTCCAACCAATTCCAAATTAATATTTAGGCCTTTTAGAGTTCATAGAGAGAAAAAATTTAGTGTTTTATCTCAAATTTATAGGTCCCTGTTTTTTTGGATAAAAAAAATGGGGACTTTAGGGCACAAATTGTAAAAGCAAGGACAATTAAAATGGGTTTCAAATGTTAGTGTTTTATTTCAATTTTAAAAGTCGCTGCTTTTTTGTTAAAAAAATGGGAGTTTTAGGGCACAAATTGTAAAAGCAGGGACCTTAAAAATATGTTTCAAATTTTTTTTTTCAGCATCGCCAACACAAAAATCCACTATTGCTTTACTATGGAATACACCTGTTCACCTTAATTTCTAAATGTGTAGCATGCATAACTAAATAAATATAAAATATTATTAACCCATATTGAACAACAAAAGATTGAATCAAAAACCACTAATTTCTATGATTCTAGTTTCAGTGATTGGTTTCTAAAAGCATGACATTCAAAATGATACACTGCAAAAGTTTCAATGTATTTTTTTAATGCTAAATATTTTCCCTAGAATTATCTCCTAGATAGTTCTACATTTAGTAGATAATTCTTAAATATAGCTTGCAGAATATCATTTTTTGATCAAATATTTTATACCTTTTCCCCCCTAATTCCATCAGCTACATACCAAAATTTAAGAGTTTAGAAATCTCTGTTTTTGCCTTAACTATTGACTCATGAAAAGTTAAAGTGTTATGTACACTACAGAGAAAAAGAAAAACTCCAGAATCCATTTTAAACCTGGAGTTTTATTATTGGTCTCAGGGCTTAAGGGCTCATATTCAAAAATGTTAAACTTTAAGACTTCATAAAGAAAAAATACATTAAAATTTTTTTTTTCTTGTGGAGTCAAAAAATCTAAAAACACAAAGAAGCTCAAGCTTAAAATTTTAAACTTCTTAAACTGTTATTGATTTTTTTTTTAAATTGCTTTAAAAAAAGATATTTTGATGGAATTTTTAATTTTCGAGTAGATTTTTGGAAATTATTAAAATGTATTCATGTAAAAAAAAAAGTTATGCATATGATAGATTAAATTGATAAAAATATGAAGTAATTTTAATGAAAACATATTTTTACAGTTATTATATATTGAACAAAATGTTATTTATTATTAAAAAAAATTACATATGATAGATCAAATTGATGAAAATTTGAAGAAAGCACTTCAAGAGGATTTAACAGTTATGGCTCCTGGACTTAACATACAGGTTTAGTTTCTGATTTCATATATATTGAATATTTATTTTGTTCAAATTAAATCTCAAATTCTATATCATGGTTTTTATTTTCTTTGAAAATTTATATTAATATAGTAGTGTTATATATAATCAATAGAATAGTAACAGAGAATAAAATCTAAATATAAATGAGATGATAAATAACTTAAATTTCTTTTTACATTTCACTACTTTTAATGTTAAAAATATTTTTATTGTGTAAGCAGTTTCTTTATTTATCTGACTTACATTTCAAAGAACTTGAAATGCACCTTTAACAAAAGAACTTGAAATGCACCTTTAACAAAAGAACTTGAAATGCACCTTTAACAAAAGAACTTGAAATGCACCTTTAACATAAGAACTTGAAATGCACCTTTAACAAAACTTTAATGTAATAGTTTTGTAAGACTAGAATGTATGTAAGATATAAAATGTTGATTGACTGACTGACTTACAAAGCAGACAAAAATTGTTTTAACAATTATTTAAGACAAACTATTAATTTATTAAAAAATGATTTGAATATATTTTGGTAAAAAAAGTGTTTAGAATTATTGTTTCATATTTTATAGTTTCTGATGTTTAAAAAAATGTTTTTAAAATGTGTTTTTAAAAGTGCTAAATAAAAATGTCTAAATTCTAACCTTACAGTATGCATTTTGTTTAAGCCAGTTAATTAATTGCAGAAATTAATTAAACACAATTGTTTTTTAATTAACTACATTATAAAAAAAAAAAAAACTTTGTTGACTAGAATCTTGTTTTTTTTTAAATAATATTTTTTAAATATACATACATACAAACATACATATATAAGTGTGTGTGTGTGTGTGTGTGTGTGTGTGTGTGTGTGTGTGTGTGTGTGTGTGTGTGTGTGTAATATATATGTGTGTGTGTATATAATATATGTGTGTGTATATATAATATATATGTATGTGTGAGTATATAATACAGGCCTTGTTTTAAATAAAAAAGTGCTTAATGCATTAGCTTAATGCGATTTTGACGTCATAAAATTATCTTTATTTTTTTTTTATAGATGTTAAGTGTTTTAACTACCGCAATAAATAAATAATTGCAAACTAGTTCAATTTAACAATTAACTCATATAACTATAAACGTTTTAAATGTAAATTTATTATGAAAATTTTGTAATGTTTTCAATTGTTATTTTATTATTAATTTTAGTTCAATATTATTTAGTAATTATATATATATATATATATATATATATATATATATATATATATATATATATATATATATATATATATTATTTCTGAAATTTGTTTTTGAATAATTGTTTTTAATCGTTATTGAATAAAAAATAATGATTTTTTTTATTTTTAAAAATTTCTAGAGTAAACAAAAAATATTAACATTGATAAACACAAACCCATGTTAGTTATTTAAACAACGATTTTGTTTTGACTAGCAAATTTAGGTTTTTAAATATTTTTTAAATTTATCTTGCTTAGCGTTTCAACTTGCGTTTTATAAAAATATTAAAAAGTTTTGTCTGCTTTGAGCATATTTTTGATACATAGTTTAGAACGCGTTCTCCAGGAATTTAATTCATAAATTTTTTATGTTATTGTAAAAATATTTTACTTTTTAAACAAATCACAAAGAAACAGAGCTATAGAGAAAAATCGCTTTTAACAATTAAATCTTTTTTTTTTTAATTTTAGGAAATTAAAAAAAAAATTAAATTAAATATAAAAGTCTTTTGTTAATTATTCTTAAAACAAAAAAACTTCGCAAAACCTTAATCGTGCAAACTTAAAAAAATACTCAACTAAATAATTTAAGTATATTTAATAATTTGAATCGTATCTGTTTATAATTAAACGTTCTTAAAAATTTGTTTATTAAAAATTAAGTTCCTTAACTTATAAACAAACTCAAAAGTATTTTCATTCTACGTATAATTACAAAACTCTTTTTTTTTTTCGTTTGTAAGCAATTTAACTTAATAAAATAAAAAAAGAATAAATATAAGGTAATCTTTGTTAAGAACAAATTTAATTTATTTATTGAACTATATTTTTATTTTTAATTATATATCAACTTAATTAAAATATAGTAACATGTTAAAATATTTTAACATGACTTGTGTTATTTATAAACCATTGGGCAGTTGCCCTTACGGCACCATTGTTTTTAGATAATATTTTATTTTGATGAAGATCACATAACTTACATTTGATTTTAATAACGTAAGTCTTCTTTTTTTCTGTGATCATCGCATCGGCAAAGCATCGGCAAAGTCCCAAGATTTAAAAGTTTTTAAAGTAAATCTTTTGTCCTTCAAAATACAATCCATATTCGAAATTTAAACAATTTAGAGATAATAGAAATATACAAGGTTTTTATATACTAGTTTGTTTTGTTTTATAAAGAAAAATACATATTCATTAGTAAAAAATGGAGACTGTCATTAAACTAAAATGTGCCTTAGTATTTATTTAACGGAACCTGTAATGTGCGCATGCATAATAAAACCTCCGTTATATAAATATATTCAATGTAATATTAGTGTCATCAGCAGATGTTGTAGTCTACTCATGATTTCTTTACCTTATAATATAACTTGATTTATGAAAAAAACTTATTGAATCGCACGCAGAAGAAATTTAACAAATTGTCTTCATTCAAATATTGCGAGTAACAGGTAATTTTTTTTTTCTGTGCCGACCCTCTCCCCCCGCATAACTTAAAGGTACGTATAAACATAACTTAAAGGTATGCATAACTTAAAGGTACGCATAACTCAAAGGTACCTTTAACTAATAAGAAAAGCAAAGACATTTTTTTTAATATCTCGAAAAAATGTCTTGATATTTTTGTTATCATGATAACAAAAATATTAAGACATTTTTTGAGATATTCAAAAAAATGTCAATTCTTATTTACAAATTTTTTTGCAAATGTTTTTTATTATAAATTCAAAAAAAAATTCTTAAAAAATCTATATTACAAAAAATATTTATATTCTGTATTAATAAATATGGAATATAGATTTTTTAAAAGTTTTTTACTGAAAACTTTAAAAAATTACAACTTTTTATTAAAAACATTGCAAAAAATTTGTAGTTAAGGATTGACAAACAATTTTTCATGTTGCTAAATATTTGGATAAAAAGTTTAGCGTCAAATTAATTGCTATAAAAAGGAAAGATATATTGCGATGAAAAGTTACAACAATTATTTTTAAAGTAAGTTCTTTTTTTTAATAAATATCTTTACATATCGTTATTTAAAAGTTAATGTGGTTTTTTTAAAAATTAATTACTTCTTTTATGTTACCGCTAATTTAAAAGTTAAAAAATGATAAAAAGTAGCTTAACCAAAACAGCTCTACGCGTACGTAAAAATCGCTTAAGGCCTACGTAAATCGCTCTAGGCGTAACGCTTTAAAACAAGGCCTGATAATATATGTGTGTGTGTATATAATATATGTATAACTAATGTGTGTGTGTTTATATATATATATATATATATATATATATATATATATATATATATATATATATATATATATACACACATATATATGTTTTTTTTTCCTCTTTTGTTATACTTTCACTCTTTGAACTCCTGAATAAAACCTGCGCCGAGATATAAGTTGAGCTGAGTACTTCTAGTGGTGGATTTAAACCACCTTATCACTTGCTTATGATTTAAACCACCTTATCACCATGTATCTATTGCTTATGAAGCGAGCACTCTACTATAAATGTATATACATACATATTTATACAAATAAGTTATGGTATTGTAATGTATTGTATAGTAATCATACATTTCAAGTTGTTTTTGTATAGTTATAACTCCACGAAAATTCTATTTTATTGTTATTTAACTTTGCTTTCTTTTTTTGGTTTTTAAATTTCAAAACTTTTTAATTTTTTTAGGCTGTTCGTGTTACCAAACCAAAAATTCCTGAGCAAATTCGGAAAAATTATGAATTAATGTAATGAATTATATAGAAATTTTTTAGCTTTATTTTTACAGAAATTAACTCTTTCAAATTCTACTGATTATTTGTCTAATTGTATAATATAAAATGAATTTATTGGGTATTAACAAAGACTATAAGAATAAGAAAAACAATTATGAAATGATTTTTAATGTTATTAAATGTATTTTATCTTTAAAAAGTTATAAAAACTATAGTTTTACACTTAACAGCTTTTTACAATTCTTTTTGTTTTATCCTGAAATTTTCAATGAATAATTTTATGTCAACATTTTTTCACTAATTCATTTTTACTTATTTTACTTTTCATAAAAGTTCATAAAATTTGTGTTTTCTAAGTCAATAAATGTCACCTGTTTTTTAAAGTAGTAAGGTTATCTGTAAAAACATGATTATTGAGTTGAAACATTTGTTGAATTGAAATGAGTTTATCTAGAGTGTATTGTTTTAGGGAAGCTGAGAAAACTAAATTACTCATCACTATTCAACATCAAAAGGTTGTTGAAAAAGAAGCTGAAACTGGTAGAAAGTTGGCTATTATTGGTAAATTATATTTGTCGATATTAATTTGTAAAATTGCTTTTTAAATAATTATTTAAATACTTTAAATATATAAACTGTATTAAATATATAAATCTCTTAATATAGAGGCCGAAAAATCATCGCAAGTAGCACAAATTACATACAACCAAAAAATAATGGAGAAAGAGAGTCAAAAAAAGATATCTGAAATTGAAGGTTTTTATAACATTTATCTACTTGTAATGTTTTAGAGCATTTTCCTAAAAACAAAATCTAGTATTCCGCAAGTAACTATTAATAATCTAGTTGTAGAATAAAAAGTTTGCAACTTGGATAGTTTTAGAAAAGTATCGTAAATATGTAAAAAGTTTGCAACTTTGATAGTTTTAGTAAAGTATTGTGAATATGTAGAAAGTTTGCAATTTTGATAGTTTTATTAAAGTATCGTGAATATGTAGGAATTTTCAACTTTGATAGTTTGAGTAAAGAATCCTGAATATCTAAGAATTTAAATTTTGCAGATTCAACTCATTTGGCAAAAGAAAAAGCAATTGCAGATGCTGAGTTTTATAAGCAAGTGAAGTTGATAGAGTCAAATAAGGTAATGCTTCTAATTTTAATACAAATGCAGACTTACTTGTGTTAATAATTATTTATTTTGAAAACATTAACAACAGTTGTTTTAAACTGTTGTTTTAAAAACTTTTACCCCGTTCACACTGATGATAAAACATGTTTTATCTTAAATGCATTATATGTTTTTAATGTGATAAATGTTAAACAGCATCAAAACAACTCAGGGAAATTTTATATAAACAAAAGTTTTTTATATGTTTTTAATGTGATAAATGTAAAACAGCATCAAAACAACTCAGCAAAGTTTTATATAAACAAAAGTTTTTTATATGTTTTTAATGTGATAAATATAAAACAGCATCAAAACAACAAAGTTTTGTATAAACAATAGTTTTTTATATTGACAAAACAACCTCACAGTATTGTTTTATTGTTTTTTTATACAGCTTTTTACTAATATGCTTTTAGCATAAAATGTGTTTTATTGTCAGTATAAACAGGGTATTAGTATATGTTTTAAAAACTTGGTGTATGTTTTAAAAGCATATTGCATATCTTAAGGGCATAATGTATGTTTCAAGACTTTATTATATGTTTTAATAGTTTGTTGTAAATTTTAAGAGCGTAATGTATGTTTTAAGAGCATAATGTATGTTTTAAGAGTTTATTGTATGTTTTAAGACCTTATTACATGTTTTAAGAGCTTGTTATAGATTTTAAGAGCATAATATATGTTTTAAGAGCATATTTTATATTTTATAAATTTATTTTAAGTTTAAGAGTTTATTGTATGTTTTAAAAAAATTATAAGTTTATAAAAAATTTTTTTACATTTGAAATGTTTGATCTATATTATTAAAAACAAATTTTTATCACGCAATAATTCAATTATTCTTATTTACCACACTATAATTAAAGTGTTCTTATTTACCATACTGTAATGAAAGTGTTCTTATTGACCATGCTGTAATGAAAGTGTTCTTATTTTGCACTAAGGGTTTAAAGGTTAAAAACAGCTTGTGATTTTTAAATCATCAATTACAAATAAAATCATATTTTTAAGTTAGTTTAAATTGTGATTGAATTACACCCATGTAAAAAAAAAGTCCTTAGAACGTTCACAAGATTCATGTACTGCTACATCGGTACAACTTTTGAAAGTATATATTTTTATTGATATAGTATTTTTTATATTTATCTTATGAGCAATTTTGTTTGTTAAACATTAATAATGGGTGGTGCACTATTTTTAAAGAAGCTGGTTATTTTTTCCCAATTATTAAATCCCTCTCTTAATCCTTCAATTTCAAATCATGAATTTTTTAGTGAACAGTGTTCTACTTGACAGAATTGCTGTTGCAGTTAGGCATATTTACATGGACAAATCATAGATTAAAAAATACTTTAATGAATTAAAAGTTCTTATAATTAAAAAAAGAATGAGATAGTTAGAATTTTAGTCAAACTAAACTTAAAACCTTTTGGAATAATATATGAAATAACGTTTTAATACTAAACATTACGTCTGGTCAGTTGCATTGCTAAAAATTTTATGTTTAGAAGTTATAAAATTATTTATTGTTTTAATTTTTCGTTTATGAGTATTTGGATTTATATGTATTTGTTTTTTACTGGTATTGAATATCAATTTATAATTAACTGTATATATTATATTATCAGATATTTTCAATATGTTATATAGAAAATATAAACATATATATATATATATATATATATATATATATATATATATATATATATATATATATATATATATATATATATATATATATATATGTTAAAGATGTGCCGAGTCCCCGAATCCGGGTACCCGGAATAAAATACCCGGTACATTTAAAAAAAATAAAATAAGTTTGAACAAAAGCTGGTGCAATCTCTAGCGCTAAATTGTTTTCGCAAAATAACGCAGATTTGCGCTAATTAAGTTTGCCTAAATATATCAAGTTTCTTTTTAATAAACAACTATATTTACACACAAGGTCACAAATTTAAATCAAGCAAATTAAAGAGTAAACCGTATGTCCGTTTTTCCCTCAAGGTTGTTAATATTTGGAATACTGACATCGTTAATGCCAAAAACGTTAAGAGTTTTAAAATTAAAATAAACTCCATAAAGACAGAGAAATTCATTAAAAAAAAAAAGAGCAGACCTCAACTGTAATGTAAATTTAAAAAAATATATTTTAAGTGAGACACGTCTATATTGAGTAAGTAGGGCTTTGTGGTTATTGACTCCATAACATTCTTAAGATTATATCAACAATTTTATTGGATGAAGTTTAAACTAAAAGCGTAATAATATTTCGACATAATTTTAACTTAAACAAATAGAGACAGCATTTAAGGTTACCCGGCACATCACTAATATATATGTATGTATATATATATATATATATATATATATATATATATATATATATATATATATATATATATATATATATATATATATATATATATATATATATATATATATATATATTTATATATATATATATATATATATATATATATATATATATCAGGGGCAGATCCAGCATTTTTGGTCTTTGAGATAGCTATCTTCCAAACATGGAGAACAACTCCATGTCAAATAAGGATGTTTTGCAAAAAATTACGATGATTGGAGCCTGGGACAAAAAAAACCCAAATTTTTCGCGCCTTCCTCCCCCCTCCTAATAATCGCAATTTTTTGCAAAGCATCTTCATTGGAAATAAGTATAAACATGTTATATATATATATATATATATATATATATATATATATATATATATATATATATATATATATATATATATATATATATATATATATATATATATATATATATATATATATATATATATATATATATAAAGAGATATAATTATGCACGCATTTTCTTTAGAATTATTTGAGTTACCTTTTTCAAATTTTTATCATTTTTTATTTAAGATGAAATTGACCCCTGAGTTTCTGGAATACACCCGAATTCAAGCTATCGGACAGAACAACAAAGTATATTATGGAAATACTATTCCTAATATGTTTCTTGATTCTGAAATGTTAACTTTTAAAAAGAAAGCAAGCGTAAAAGATGAGCCTTTAACATCCTAACTTGATAATTTTTGAAAATCTGGTTTAAATATTTTTTTAATTTTTGAAAGATGTAGAATTTGAAATGCTTACAAATACTGAAGAACTGTATCGAATAATAGTTTGTCAATTAATATTGTTTTTTTTAACTTTTTTTGATAAGAGCTTTAAAAAAGTGTATATTATACTGGCATAATTTGTACTGTTTTATATACGAATAGTCAAAATAACACCGTTTTCTACTGGCGCAAATTTGCCTCGTTTGCTCAACTAAAATACAGAACTTTAAAAAATAAAATACAGAACTAAACTTTAAACAACTAAAATACAGAACACAGTCTTTATTCAACTTTTTGTTTTAATTTGATTTTAATTAGAATAATCAATTTTTAATGACGCTGTAATTTATCGCTTCGGAGCTTAATAATCTATAGGATATTTTAGGTATTAATAAATCTCGAAATGTTTTAAATTGTATGGTTTGTAAAATAAAACTTTACTCTTTTAAACATTGCTATTTTATTTTAGATTTTTAGTGAAAACGCGTTTTAATACAGCATGAACGTTTTTCTTCAAAATATTAACTTCGCGCAATTTACATTATATTAAATGTTCATGTCAAAGAGAAGAAATTTTTTGAGTTTTTGATTCCTTTCTTTTGCTTTCTTATTAAAAAAAGCTTATCGTTTTTACTTTAAAAAAAAATCTAATTTACTATTTTGATATTTTTAATTTTTTGTTGTTACTTTAGCCTTCTAGAAACAAAATGTTTTAACATCTTTAAACAAAGAAATATGATATTAATTAAAATGTTTTAAATGTCTTTGCTTCTACAAATCCAGACTAAACTTTTACTTTAGGATGTTAAAACATTTAAAATTAAACTTTTAAAGTTACAAGTCATAAAATAATAAACGGCTAATAACTTCTGAAAAAGTCAGACTAGATAAAAATGCCAATCTGACTGGAAATATCAAAAACTTTAAAATATTTGTCTCGGCACTAATGTTCAGAAACGACCGAATAAATGTCGAACATTTTCAGACCAATCCAAAACTTTTTCTGCATTCCGAGATAAATAAATGCAATATAGTAACGATATCATTTATTTGCTGAATTCTTCTTGCATCCATTTCTATGATAAATTTCTCCGCAACCACCTTTGTGAATTTAACTAAGAGGAAATGGAGTTCAATTTTTACCCCATTAAACTTATTCCTGATTCACAGAATTCTTTTTTTCTCTGCTTTTGCATAAACTTTATAAAAGAAATAAGGTCTTGTCTTCTATTTATTCAGTTTGAAAGTGAATTATGAGTTTTTTCGGGACGACTCAATAAGTGCGAATTGGAATGAGTGCGCCGAACAAATTTGCAAACATTGACATAAGTGCGATGCAGTTACAAAAACTGGCATAAGTGCGCCAAATAAATTTGTAAACATTGGCATAAGTGCAAAATACTAATTTGCACTTATGCCAATAATTGCAATTTTTTCCAGCGCGCTTATGCCAATTTGCACTTATGCCAGTTTTTGCTACTGCTTTGCACTTATGCCAGTTCATACTTATGCCATTGTTTGCAAATTTATTCGGCGCACTTATGCCAATTTGTAGTTAAGCCAGTTCGTACTTATGCCTGTTTTTGTAACTGCTTCGCACTTATGCCAATTCGCGCCTATCAAAGCCTATCCAGTCGTGCATAATTTTATAATTTTCGCTGTAATTTTATCGCAAAGCACTCTGGGATGTCCTACCGGACCTCAGAATTTTATAATATTAAGTAGCGAATAGTTATTTTTGTATGTACCTTTAAGAATTTTGATCTTAGTTATAACAATGCCATCATTTTGTGCTGCTATAAATTGTGGAAATAAGAGTGGAAAAAACTGTAAAGGTATTCCATTTTTTCGTTTTCCTAAAGACGATAAAAGGCAAACTAATTTTTATAATTTATTTATAATAACCTTTTTTTTCATAAAAACTTTACAAAATTATTATTGTAGTATTTCAAAGCATATTACTGAAGTATTTTAAAGCATATTATTGTAGTATTTTAAAACATATTCTTTTATTGCTTAATTTTTAGATGTAAACAGTGGAACATCAACTGTTGTAGGAAAGATTTAGAAAATTAAGATTTTGTATTTTTAAACAAAAACTTTTATTTGTGCAGTAATCATTTTTAAAGTACAATGTATTATTCTATAGATAATGGTCAATTAGAAATGAGTAAACCAGTCAATAAAGGAAAACGCTGGGCGGTTTGTGACAAAGTTTTGGCTTTGCGAATTTTGTTTCATAGTCCTCAAACTTTTAATGTCTTGCAAGCGATATTCTGTTTACCAAGTCAAACCTGTTTATTATTATTTTTGTTCTGTGTATTTTCAGATATTTAAGAAAAGTTTTCTACTCGATTGTTTTCTTTATTAAAGTTATATGCTGATGCAATGAATCCACTTGATCGTAATGTCAGTCTTGTTATGGATAAAATGTCGTTAAAGCAGAATTTAGAGTATGATAGAAATTCTAACAGGGTTTACAATATGAAAAATGGAAAACTTTTAAATCAGGCTTTAAATCAGGCTTGTAATTATGGTTAGAGGCAAATAAATAGAAACAGCCTATAGCTTATTATCATAATAATTGAACAGTAGCAACAGCTGACTTGGTTTCTTTACTACATGAAACCATTTCTAAGGTTCAAGAAGTTTACACATTAGATGTGTTGTTTGTGATCAAGGATCAACTAATATAGCTGCCTTACGTTTGCTTGGTTTTCCAAAAATTTATCATACTTTCCTAATCCTTCCAATGATAAAAATATTCATGTTATTTTTGATCCTCCCTATTTAGTAAAAAGTATCAGAAACAATTTATGAAGGCATAACATTGACATTAATGGTGAAATAGTTTCTTGGCAACACATCCAATCTCTTTACAATTTAGACAAATTAAACTTTATTTTTTGAATTAAACTATTTTTAAATTATTTTTTTTGTAATAAAATGTGCTGATAACTTTAAAAAAATTGTTATGTTTTTTGTTATAAGAATTTTTATTTCATAAATTTTTTATTTCATAAAATCCACCCAATAAGTCAAATTGCAATTTCAAAAATATTGTATGTATTGTCCTTTGGTATATTATGATATTATTTTTTCAATTTAATTCTTTGTAATGAGACTTTGTAATGTTATAATGTATAATATAAATAACTTTGGTTAATGTATAATGGTAATAACTTTTATGTATAATAATATACTTTTATGCTCTAAAGAAATTACACCAAGTTTATGTTCTACAAAACTCTTTTTGTCCTACAAAACGTTTTTTCCCCATTTTATTCTTATTGAAACATTCTAATGGTAATCTTAACAAAATTGATGTATCTTAATGTTACAAAATTGAGATATCTTGAACACAAAATTGAAATATTTAGCAACAGTTTATTAATTTAGAAAAAAAACTATTTGTGTTTGTTGCGGAAGAGATCCGGCAGGACATCCCTGAATGTAATTTTGATCAATTAACAGGAGTTTCGCGAAGTGAATAGGCTTTGGGCGCTTATGCCAATGTTTTCAAATTTGTTCGGCGCACTTATGCCAGTTTTTGCAACGCTTCGCACTTATGCCAGTTCGTGCTTTTCAGCCTCCCAGTTTTTCAGTTGTCAAAATCTGGTGGTTGCATAGATTTAACTATAACTTGTCGAGAGTTGGCATTCTGCTTTAAAAAAGCAGCCGTTAAAAATTGTTAGTTTTAATTAGCCATTAGCTGCTCAGCTAAGTTTGATCTGATTATGAAAGTCATCTGCCGGCATAAATATGTCTAAGTTCAAAATATTTAACTTCAGTTTTATTTGTAGGGGTTTTGCTACGTCGCTTTTCATCACTATATAATAAAAAGCTAAAAAACGATTTTTATTTTGACACTATTCGTATAAATTCTAAAATTTTCAGTAAGGTTGTGCTGCCGTAGCGCAGTGGTTACAGCACTTACTTTGTAAGCAGGACATCCAGGTTCGAAACGAGCTCTGGACATTTTTTGCGACATGGTAAGTAAGGAGGCGTGAACTTCCTGGTTAAATTCACTTCCGTACTGCTCTGTGACAAGACCGTTAGGTTTTCTTGGGGTTCCTAAAAAAAAGTAATTGTTAATTTACTTTCACTAGCCCTAAGTATTATTTACTTTCGTGATGTAATTTTGATTGCAAGTAGATTTAAACGGTTGTAGAACACTATATTTGGGAAGGTAAGTTTCTCTTTTCAAAAAAATAATTATTACAAATCGATAGGATAGGGTGGGGTAATGTGGGTCTACGGGGTAATCTGGGTCTAATTCATATTTATCTGTTATATTGATAATGGCTTTAGGTTAAAGTTATAATTTTTACCACTTTGTTATAACATATTAGGCTAACTAATTTTAAAATATAATCTAGCCTTGCTGTTAGAAACGGCACTTTTTTAGCTAAAATGCTAGATACATAAACAAAGTCATCTTTTTCTCTTTTAAATTTCAGAGAAAGTATATACAATTAAGGCAAAAGCGTATGAAAAAATGGTTATTTTGAAAGTTAAATTACTATATCTTAAGAATAGTATACCTTTAAGACACTAACGCACATGGTTTGTTTAAAACTTGAAATATAATCAGGTGGGGTAAAGTGGGTCTATGTGTGTAAAATATTATGATATGTAATTAATCAATCAATCAATCAATCAATATATATTTCGTCAATGAACAAAAAAGAAAGAAAATTTTACAATGTACTTGTAAAATAAAAATAAAATAAAATATATTTTTTAAATTCTGACAGGAGCAAGCAGAAGACAATACATCTTATCATCTTGCCCCTTTGATAGTAAAATAGTTAACTTTATTTACATGATTAAGTTCGTAAAATCTATAATTATAAAATTAGTTTATTATAAAATTACATATTTTTGAGTTAAACATACATATTCGTATTAGTAAATACATAAAAATACGACTTAAAAATACAAAAAAATATTTTTATTGGTTAGATTTAACAAATGTTGTTTCACAGTTTTTTTAAATGCTTTAATTGAGGCTATAGATTTTATGTCATTATTCAGGATTGAGTTCCACAGACGTTGACCCCGACAAGTAATAGAGTAGTCCGATTTTTTAAGAATTGTTGATGGTATGTAAAAATTGTCAATAGAATATCTTGTTAAGTATCTGTGATTAATTAAAGAGAAATGTGGCTGAAAATATGATGGAAGCATGTT